AATCATCAAAACAAATCCTAAATAACCCCAAGTGTTTGATGGGCAAGGATACTACATATCATCGGCCTATGAAGAACTAATCAAACTATAGACTCTATAAGCATCCAATCAGCTTGTTATTACAACTTAATCCCCCTTGTTTATTGGCTTCGTTCCCAGTCTCATTTGTTGTTCTTAGTCTCCCACTGGCCTCTCATAATTATGTACCAGTTGTTATTCAATTACATGTTGTTGTTAATGTTAATCTGCTGTTGTCAATACATACTGTGTATATATACTCCTCTACATCTGGTTGTATTCACTTTCAGCTTGATAACGATGTAAGAATCTACATCGAAACGTCGCTCTGTGCAATAAATAAGAAGTTGTCATCCATAAAGTTGTATATTTCATTTCTAAATAACCCCGTTATTAATATTATTACATTAATCTTTGCTCACAACCCGATAACTCAGATTTTAGTAGACTGTATTCAACTGTAAAAATGATGATCGAATTAAAAAGGTTTTGTGTCATATTGTAATTAGTGTTTTGGTGATCCTTATAGTATTGTCTGTCGGTGAAAATAATAAAACCGTGTTTATTTTGCAATCATGTTTACAAGTTAAAGATGGCGGTGGGGTAGCCTGGTGGTTAAATCGTTCGCTCGCCACTCCGAAGACCCGGGTTCGATTCCCCACATTGGTACAATACATATGGAGCCCATTTCTGGTGTCACCCGCCGTGATAATTGTTCGTATATTGCTAACAGTGACTTAAAGCGAAACTCCCTGCCTGACTGACTGACTGACTCACTTACTCAATCACTACAAGTTACGGGTTTACTTCGATTTCAGTAAAACAAACTCAGTAATCATATTTTATCTTCAATGGAAGTATTTATCTGATTAGGGATAACGAAAAATATTTGATAATATAATTCAAATTTATGTCAAGTACACAAGTGTAACCGTTGACTACGTAACTTGCACTTCAGATGCGACACACATAAATTCACTCCAACTCCTACATGTCCATTTTATATGAGTTTCTCGAATTTCTTTTGGACAAGGTCGCCCAGGAACCCGATAGCCTCAGTTACCTCCTCTTACCAAGAAACCTCTGATTATGAGTTCCAATCCCCCAAACGCCCAGTTTCTTGGTTTGTCCACACCAGCACTGGCGGATCCAGAGGGGGGATTCAGGGGCTTCAAACCACCACCCCACCCCCCTCTCTCAAAATTCCTGGATCTGCCCATGCCCACCAGACACGTGCTATTGATTTCTGCAAGTAGGTAACACCTACGGCATGTGTTACTTCGGGTTTCCCTCCCACATCAAGCAGTCACGCTGTGATAAAACTGAAATCATGTAACTGTTCATAGTATGGTATGAAGCCGGGCCTCATAGCATTCAATACAGTTGTTCTGACCCGTGAAGGTCCGAGTTAGAATCTATCTTCAGCAACCCATGCTTGTCGTAAGAGGCGACTAACCGGATCGGGTGGTCAGGCTCGCTGACTTGATTGACACATGTCATCGGTTCCCAATTGCGCAGATCGATGTTCATGCTGTTGATCCCTGGATTGTCTGGTCCAGACTCGATTATTTATACAGACCGCCGCCATATAGCTGGAATATTGCTGAGTGCGGCGTAAAACTCACTCACCCAGTTCTGTTTGCGATGGTAATGATTTGGAAATTTTACGTGCGCTTTCCTACATAATGCGTGTTGGCACACGGACCAGGCCATATAGTGTTTGATCGAAAAAGGGTGATTTAGCCGAAAGATATAGCAAATATGAAGGGGGGATTAGGGTTACCTAATTAATTTTTTATGAATGTGATGCGAGTACCCATCTCTAATAGAATCAAGTCTCTAATGGACGGAGGTATGGTCATCGTGATGCTCTTGGAATCAGCTTCACCCCCAAATCATCTCACTCTCCTCTCACTAAATTTCTTAATTTACTCAATTGCCTCCAACGTTGCCTTTTTAAAGGGCTTTTCTTGTGTGTGTGGTTTTGTTTTTATTATTACTAGAGGGTTCATTACGATTACATGCGTTTGATGCAATATTTCTTTTTAATGAACTGGAAAAATTATCACTCCTGTTTGACCCATGAGAGGTATCAATAATCACCTCTAATTGTAACTTCTTCGACGGCCTCCACAGGGCAGAAGCTAATATCAGTAGAACCACTTACCGTTAGGTCTATCATTTGTGAGTTGTTTAACGCCGCACTCACCTCAATTCTATGGAAGCGTATTACTTTCACAGCCTAATAGAAAATCTACGTTTAAGATACTTACATCTGCATTACAAATACTTACATCTACATAGATGATAATGGTACCTCAATATATATTATAATAATCATGCATACATGTAGAAAGTATGTTATGCATCTACAAACATGAAAGTATCTTTCACACGTATAAAGTTTAAGCATCATCTACGTGTATGAAAGTCGCTTCTACGTATACGGAAGTATCTTTTACGTAGGTTTAAGCATCATCTGCGGGTATAAAAGTATCTTCTACGTATATGAAAGTATCGTCTACGTAGATTTAAGTATGATCTACGCATATGAAAGTATCTTCTACGTAGATGAAAGTATCTTCTACGTATATGAAAGTATCTTCCACGTAGATTGACGTATCATCTGCGTACATGAAAGCATATTGTGCGTAGATGTCTTATCACCTAGGTAGATGAAAGTATTTCCTACGTGTACGTAACTAAAATCTCTTCTACGTAGATTTAAGTATCATCTACGCTTATGAAAGTATCTTCTACGTAGATTTAAGTATCATCTTCGAACATGAAAGTATATTGTACGCCGATGTCTCATTATCTAGGTAGATGAAAGTATCTTCTAATTGTACTCAGATTAAATCTCATCTACGGACATGAAGATTTAAGTACCATCTACGTACATGAAAGTTCATTGTACGTATATATCTTATCATCTAGGTAGATAAAAGTATTTTCTACATATATGTAAATGAAAGTATCCTGTACGCAGATTTAAGTGTCGTAAGTACGAAAGTATCTTCTTCGTGTATATGTAGATGATATTTGTTTAGACCGTGGCACTCATACGCTTCCATCATAATCACGCTATATGTTGGTGGTACACAAATTATCGAGCCAAGACCAGATGACCCTGTGAAGTCAAGGGGATTACTTCTTTAAGCGGTATATGTAAGCTGATATGATGACGTGGAACAATTTGTTTAGTTCTATAATACTGACACTCACTTGGTCGATCCGGTCAAAGGTCAGTAGCACGATGTTACCAAACATCTGATATGAAGTATAACACAGTGTAATATACTAGAACACATAAAAAATGACACACACGCCCTAAAATGAAACAGGAAATTCATATAAGCTTGAAATTCCGAAATGTCTAATATATTCTGTAAATACCCTGATGTGAAAAACCTCCCTGATTTGATGTTGGGTGCAACCATGATGTTTGTTTGTTTAACGCCGCAATCGGCTGTATGGGAGCCGACTATAAATAATCGAGTCTGGACCAGACAATCCAGCGATCAGCATCATGGGCATCGATCTACAAAATGGGGATACGATGGCATATATCAACCAAGTCAGCGAGCCTATCTACCTGATTCCGTTAGTCGCCTCTTACTACCGGACTGACTGACTGAGTTTGGTTTTACGCCGCTTTTAGCAATATTCCAGCAACATCACGGCGGGGGACACCAGAAATGGGCTTCACACATTGTACCTATGTACATTCGAACCCGGGTCTTCGGCGTGACGAGCCAACGCTTAAACCATTAGGCTACCCCACCGGCCCTCTTACAAGAATGGGTTACTAAATACTGATACTAACCCGGAACTTCAATAATGTGAATCAAACAAAATTGCATTACAATACTAGATAAAACTATCAATACACCTGCTGTTATAGATATTTATTTGATGAGGTTTGCTACAATATATTTCTATAACAGTTACCTCTGTCGATAAATGGATATTCTGATCAAAGCTCTTACTGTCGCACGTTTGTTGGTTCATTGTGCAGATGTCGGAACTGATAAAAGGGAACGCATGTTACGATGTCCATAAATTCAGCGTACAAAGTTACCAACTGGTGTCAAGAAACCTACTTTCTCTTGAACAGAAGACTGAGAAGAAATGTGAATTTTACATGTCATTAATATGGGTACTGAACAAACTGGAACAGTAAAATATACATATACTCATGCCAATAATGGTTGTCACCCCCTTCAAATTATTTGTATTTTTCAAATTCTATTAATTACCTATTGTGTTCAAACAATCGTCAAAATATGTAACAAAAGTGTTGATGACATAATTTTACACAATTGCATATAATTATTTTCGCTTGGTTCACATACTTTCTTCTTTCGTTGATTATATTAAAGTCAATATAAAACTAATATATAAAACAACGATTTAGTGGCATATTTGTGGCCTTAGCCGTACATCTTTCTTTGCAAGGATTTTGATGGAACTCTTTAATTCAAACGCAAAGGGGAATAACAATTACTTCAGATTTTAGAGTCAAGTGAATAGGCGATAGTTCTGACGCATTAACTTGGCATATTAACATACCTCGATCCCAACTATTACAGATGAGACATCACAAAACGTGTATTACACCAGATGATGTATTGTTAACCTTCCACGCCTCCTGTACAAGTCTCCAAAACTCAGGAATATAATCACACTCAACAGTCGTTGCTAATACAGAACAATGACGTTTTCGAAAACACTCCATCCCTTTCTTTGGTTGCATTAAAAAAATCACTTGTCACGAACAACCCCTGGTGGGCTCCACGTTGTTCAGTCGTGAAACGACGTCAATCCATATAAAGGGAGTGAGTGAGTGAGTTTAGTTTTACGCCGCACTCAGCAATATTCAAGCTATATGGCGGCGGTCTGGACCAGACAATCCAGTGATCAACAGCATGAGCATCAATCTACGCAATTGGGATACGATGATGTGTCAACCAAGTCAGCGAGCCTGACCTCCCTATCCCGTAAGTCGCCTCTTACGACAAGCATGGGTTGCTGAAGATCAATTCTAAGTCGGATCCGCAGGGGTCACCTATTGTGTAGATCGATGCTCATGATGTAAATCACAGGATGTTACTTAAAGACCGCCGTCATGCATCTACAACAATAGCTGCGACACACAAATAAATACCAAGTTCTAATTATAGTCGGCGATATACGTCATTGTCGCTATCGTGACAGTATCTGATAAGGCCACCCAGAGGAGGACGCCGCTGACGTTGTTGGCGTTGAATCTGCTGACGGCTGCGTTGTGGTTTCAGCCCACACGTCTCCGCTTGCTCAGCAACAAAGCGTAATATCTTGTCTGTGACTGGCCTGCAATGAAGTCCCTTCGTCCACAACATGACGTCAACTTGTACTATTTTGGCACATACAGGGGCTGCTAGTATGGCATGACTAAGAAGATGAGTCGGCCACAACTTGGGGGGAAGGTGATGCACAGAAAAACTTTCATAGTAATCCTCAATAACATCAGCTGCTGTATCAGCAGGTGTCTTTCTGATGTTGGGGAGCAGCCTGTCTCCCATCCTCGTCAAAGCCAGGTATCTACAACACTGAACATTAGAAAGGTACCACATACATTCTGGGTAGAATACATTATTCAGGATCCTGTGAAGATAACGTAATATAGCCACGTAGCAAGTCTTTGATGGTTTTCGTTCCGTGCTGTGTCCTGAGACACCCTTCTGTTGCAAACAGCAATCCAAGTAGTCTTGTAATAAGATCGCCCTATCTTTGGGAAGTTTCAGACTCTCAAGTTTCTTTTCAACCTTCCGTGCAAGGTCCTCCATTAGTGAGCTTTGTCTCTCCCATAGTGGTACATCCAGAGCAACAGGTTCCAGTAATGCATTCAGAGTATGACTGACATTGTAATTGAAGCAATCGTACAAATAATGACACAGGTCAACATTCTCAGGAATTTCGACAAACCGCGTAAAGGTGTCCCTGAAAGCCTTTTGGGTGTCAATGATTGATGCATTCAGTGATAACTTGCATCTTCCCCAAGTACCATTATATCTGTATACGATCTTACTAACACTACCGCACCAACCTATCCAAGAATCCTTACCCACAAGGATGACTAAAGATGGACGGTGCCAGCTGCAATCTTCTGTCGGATATCTAGCCACAATCTCAAAGTGATATTTACAATCAAAATCATTCAGATAACCCGGTTCAAGGACATTGTCCTTGAACATTATAAAATCTAAAATGTAGGGATTTCCTACATCAAATGATGCAGTCCTCACGTTAAACAATGTCATTTCAATGAACCTTGGAAAGAGCACTGCTAACTTGATGAATAGAGCCTTAGCATCGTCATCGTATATGTCAACTATCTGAAAGACTGATTTGTGGTCAACAACATGGGCTTGTTATACGAGATCGTCAAATTCGAAAACAGCCACATTCGTATTGCATATTTGAGGAGTCCTATAGAAAGAAGCTTGTTGCAGCTCTTGACAATCACATTCGGGTGACACAGAGTACTGTTCTGTAAATACCACATCTGAAGAACCTTGTGGAACACCTCCTTTGTCTGCAGAACAATGTCTGATGTGACCCATGGGGCTTGAAGTGTGTTCTTGCAATACAAGTCCAAAAAGCTAGCTGAGTTGATGACTTGAGTGAAGCGGACTGCAGCTCGAGAGCAGGACAGAATAGTTTCAGGTGTCAGATAGAGGAAGATGGATTCCAGCAGCTCCGTGGGTAGTTCCTGGAGATTAACTGGTGGATGACGTCTAGTTCCTGCACAGACTGGGGGGTCCTCAGGGTCTTGTGATGGATGTGCCATGGAAGAACTCTGACCAATTCATAAAAACTTTAAAAGGTATACAAACAAATAGGTATAATATCAGCTTCCTTGATGAACAGGAGAGTTATGACTCGGATATCAGAGAAAGATGGATCCAAACCATGAACCCAAAGTTATATATACAAATAGGTAATATATCAGCCTGCTTCACGAACAGGACAGTTGTGACTCGGGTATCAGTGAAAGATGGGCTCAATCTGTTCCGTCGGCTATACCGAGAGATTTATTTGTGGAGGAGATTCAGCTCCAGCCCACCTGATGCTGCCTTAACGACAGGCAGTTGCAAAGACCATCGAAGAATCCGGACGAAATGAATCTATATTTACACAGAGATCCGTCTTCTGTTCTTGGATGGAACATCACCGTCTATCGAGACTCCCAGCTCCGGTTGAATCCTAAGCAGCAGTAAGTCCTCACAGTTCCATAGGACGCATTCCTATAACTGAAATGTGAGTTTTATTGTTATAGTGATGTTTTGTGCATGATAAAAATGTAAAATGAAATATAGTGAAAGCATTCGATACAAAGAAAGAATGCATGCATTTCGAGATACACCAAATGAGATATTTATATATGCTTCCACATATTATTTAAGTACATAATTTGGAAATCTATTATTCTAAATTAAATTGCCTATGCCATGATGGCTCAAAGCCACATAACAAAAATAACAGCATTCAGAAATAGTATGTTGAGAATGCTTGGACCGTTTAATTAACGATGTTATTATGTTTTTTAACAAAACGTAAGTGATGAAAACATTCTGCTGTGATCATCAGGCAATTGAAGAATTAATGATAACATATTTACTGATTGTGTAAAACAATACGTATCACAATCTCTTCTGGCAGACCAGTCTTATTGATCAACTGAATCTTACAACCTGCACGAATGTAAAAATGAGTGAGTGAGTTTAGTTTTACGCCGCTTTTAGCAATATTCCAGCAATATAACGGCGGGGGACACCAAAAATGGGCTGCACCCATTGTACCCATGTGGGGAATCGAACCCGGGTCGAGCGAACGCTTGTGGGGAGCGAACTCTTTTACCACTAGGCTACCAAACCGCCCCCATAACTGTCATCAATCATCTTTACGGGTGACGTTTGTAGAGAATATGTGTCACGAAATCTCTTGGCAGTTCAGCCTATTGTAGCCACAGAAACCTAGAGAGCGAGTGAGTGAGAGAGTGAGTATTGCTTAAGGCCGCATCACCAGTTTATTCAGCTATTCGCGGCGAGAAACACCTAGGGAGGTTGCATGGCCGTAACCACGGCACTAACTCAAAAAGTGAGTGAGTGGGTGAGTTAAGTTTTACGCTACACTCAGCAATATTCCAGCTATATGGCGGCGGTCCGTAAAAAATCGAGTCTGGGACCAGACAATCCAGTGATCGACAGCATGATCATCAATCTGCGCAATTGGGATACGATGACATGTGTCAACCAAGTCAGCGAGCCTGACTACCCGATCCAGTTATTCGCCTCTTACGACAAGCATGGGTTACTGAAGATCAATATTCTAGCCCGGGCCTTCACGGGTATCAAAAAGACACCGTTTCCAGTGAACTCGATGAAGAAATTTCTGGTTTAACGCAGTTCGTCAGGGCACATGGGAGAAATATTACCGCCTCGACGTGACTTAAGTTTAGTAGTTTCATGCATCCACATACAAAAATCCGGAAAGACGTGTTTCCTGATTTAAAGAGTTTGAACTAACGAGGTGTCACCGTGGTACGACGTCTTTGTTTCCCGACCGCCTCCGTGGTGTAATGTTTAGAGCGTCCACCCGGAGAGCGGAAGGTCGTGGGTTCGATCCCAGGCGGCGTCATACCAAATGACGTTAAAATATGGTACTTGTTGGTCCCTGCCTGGCGTTCGGCATTTATGGGTACAGCAAGGACAGGTCGGCGCGGAGTCAGTATAATGTGTCTGAGTGGGGTATTCATGCTTAACTGCAGCATGGTATCTCAGTAAGCTAGCACTATAAAACCAGCCTAAGTCTTCACTAGTACAAGCAGCCACCCATGCACATGCATGCACGTCGTCATATGAGCGAAATATTCTTAAGAATGACGTTAAACCCTATTTCACTTAACCGTTGTTTCCCGAATAGCGCAGCTTCATTGATAACGCATATACCTTGCATCGCAAAACAACAACATAACCCTAACAGGGCCTCAAATCCGGAAGTAAGCAAACTCACAGTTTTATCTTTTGTCAGGAACACTGTAACTTGTCGAAAAACAGTGTCATCTAGACTGTGTACGATAGTGTCACCCCAGGGTACACTCGTCGATGACAGCATGCCACACCATTGTACACGTTGTATACATGATCACAGGATCACACATTTCACAATCCTCCCACTTCCGGGTGTATACATAATCTCGGGAGGTAACTCGTTACTCGCATATTTAAACGAACATAAAACACAAAATACAGAATCTTGTACCGCTGTCATGCAGGAATAGAACAGGAAGAGGGCGATGTATATAGATACTGAGTGTAACAATGTAACAAAGAAAAACAACATGATTAACATGTGAACGGTACAAGAATCTGTATTGAAACGTCGCACTCACGAATAAAAGAAGTTGTTATCCATAAAGTTTTTCTATATTCTATATTTGTTATTTCCTCAAATATTTTCATGGACACCCTCATCGTCTGTAGATATAATCAAAAAAGCAGAGTGCTTGTAAGCCGATCGTCATGTTTCACAATTCACACATCTCCCATAGCCGAAAAATGTTTTAAGCGTTGCAGTGGGCACCTCACATAGACTGGCTCCTTGCCCGCCATGCGCGGCGTGATCGTAATGATGTGCATATGCTTATATAATAAGCGGATAAATATCAAACCATATTGACCTGAGTGAGTTACATGGAGGTCCCCTCGAACATCGGACGACATCCGACACCCGACATCCGACAAGCGACATCCGACCTGAGACTCACTAAAGCTATATAATAACCTGATATCGAAGTTACGTCCCTTGTCATGTTCATTATTAGAAATCTTCTACGTGTTGTGAATTGAGCAGCTTTCCGGAGAACGAAAGGTCAGTGTTTCGATGTTCAGTCCGCTTCAGACCAAAAGGCGTTAAACGACGGCAATTGTCGTTTCTGTCAGAATAGGGGGAGCCTAGTGGTTAAAGCGTTCTCTTGTCACGTCGAAGACCCGGGTTCGATTCCCCACATGGCTACAATGGCTGAAATATTGCTAGAATTCGTTCAAACCCAACTCAATCACATGATCACGATAGCTTTCCTGATATAACCAATAATGTGATATAGATCATCAAATATTTACAAATTTAAAACAGCAAGTACGTTACCACTAATTTTTCTAACAATGATCCAGCATTGACCACGTATATATACATGGAAATGCACTTCAATAACAGGGCGTTATGACATTCAGGTTGATTCGTGTTCATGCATAAGGTCAATTTGATTCTCACTGAACCACGTTTCTTACTCACTCATTTAAGATTCAGTTTGCATTGTGTGCTTTCTGTGACGTATAACAATCAAGTTAATAGTCTAATTGATCCGAAATGAAATTTAAAATACACTCCGAAAGTTAAAAATGTGCACGTAAATTTATGACGGATCATTCGTAATACAAAAGAAAGGAACTTCAGCGTTCAGCTGTGATACCTTTGATGCATGATTCATAAAGCTGGTGATTTTGTTCGAGTTAATCGTTGTTGTCTACACAATAGCAATGAACGTGTTTAGAATTAATTCATGAGTTTAAATTTGTATTGCAGAAATTAG